TATCTATCTATCTATCTATCTATCTATCTATCTATCTATCTATCTAACATTTTAACATGTAGCTTTCTCTTGATACAGGTCCCTAAGTATTGATACGTCCCATGAAAAGGACTGGACGCCCAACGATGCTTTAGTACTAAGTAAAGTTAAATTCCAAAAGAGCGATAATTAGAAGCCATTGCAATAGTAATAAAAGCATTGCAATAAAACTAGGTTTCCGGTAAAATACACTTTTGTTCGGTCTTGTCTCCTGTGTCTTCGTCCATCGATACGTTTTAATAATTTTATGCTGTAATTTTTGCTACCTTTGAGGCACCTCTTATTTAACGTGAGGAGGAAATATTTCCTGTATTTCTTTGGTGTGTGTCTATATCTCTCGAAGCTTGATGTTGAAAGGCAGTGAATTCTCGATTTTTTTTCGATAACTTGCTAGGCTATAGCAGATAAACCTCGGGACCCCACTTTAAATCTCCAATGAACAGGCATGAAGGACATTTCCACGTCCAAGTCCACTTTCGCCACAGTCTATCAATTCCTGGCAACTAATTGATTCTGTTTTAATGCGCCATAGACCATTTGAATAATTGGCGCCAAAATTTGAATAACAATACCTATACATCCTAAGCCTCACATTCATGTGAAAAACACTTTGTCTGGAAATATAAGAACGAGGCTAATTAAGGATGTGCGCAGTATTGTTATTGAAAATTAGGCGCCATTTATGCAAAGTGTCTCTCATAGTAGTGTTAACTAGCAGAGATTGGTAGTATTGATCCATCGAAGTGGAAGAGCTGAAAAATTGTTGTGAGAAACCTGAATTGTGCAATGGCCTGTCAATATCAATATTTTCAAAGTTTAGAGATATTTATTTCCCTTGAACAGAAAGCTAAGTGCTTGAAAGCAACCGTATGATTCACACATTACTTGTATAGGCAAAAGTTGTGCGCAAGCTACTTGTAAACTGAAACAAATGATTAATGTGAGTAGTCTTATCAGCTCTATTACAGCCAAAGACCACGCTTACAATGTAGGCCATTTCACTTGACGTCATCGTGTCACGTGCACTTGAATGGATTCAACAACCCTAACCGTAACCCGTTTGTCATGATGACACATGACGAGTGATTGACATTGTTATAGCAAGAACGAGTCACGTCAGAAAAGTTATACCACACAGAGTTCAACTCTGTACTTACCGAAAACCGTCAATATTTTTTCTTTTTTTCTTTTTACTTCGTGACTACAAAGAGCGAAACAATCTTTATTATTTCTTTGGTTACTTATGTATTTAATCTATCTACACACTGATTTGATTTCTGGCCAGGGCTAAATATCCATTTTTTTAAAAAAAATAATCCTCATTTATTTTACGTTCAGTTTCATATTTTTCAGCTATTTTGTTTTGATAACCTTTATTTTGAGGATGTATTTGGTTTTGGTACCACAAAAACAGCTTTCCAACAATACACATCGTATTCTTTATTCAATACCTAGCCAAGTTTTTCCAGCAATGCAAAGAAAATTACTTTTAGTCAAGAGAACTTAGCAAAAAAAGATAAAAAAAAAAGTGAGAAAAACTTTAAAAAATATGGTGAAACTAATCTGCTGTTTGAATTTCACGAAGAAACTTTTTTCTTTGAAATATGAGGAAACACATGAAAACCGAATAGGAATCGAGAAAACCAAGAATAATTTTATTTCGAAACGTAAACAGAAAGTCCGTCTTTCAGTCACCATGGCAACTGCAACATATGCAAATTCGAGTCCGCAACGAAACTCAACAAAACGAAGCCGTTATCCAAATTAAAGTTATTGAGCTGTACGCTTGGTAAGTTGACTCAATACAAATGATTCAATAAATAAGCGACAGTCTAAACGTAAACTGGTAATCCGAAGAGTATTCATGATGTGAAGTATATATGAAATAAATCATATTTGAACTGCGGTTGTAGATGAAAGTGGAGAATAATCATCGCAGTAAATTTTCCAATTTAAGCAATTGGAAAGAAGAAGCCTAAAAAAAAACAAAACAAAAATTGGGGCTTCAACGGGATTCGAACCCGTAACGTCCGTGAAATACCGGTGCGATGCTCTACCAACTGAGCTATGAAGCCACACATTGGGAGCGAGGAGTATTCAGTCGCAACATGTCTTTCAATCGCGAACACGTGCAAAGCGACACGAACGTTCGTTTACCGACAATTATCGCTTCGCATTTCGAGAAAATTCAGGAAATCATTTTCATAGTTACTTACGATATCTTCTGAATTGTTTCCGCGCCAAAGAGCCATCTTTAGGATCTTTCAAATCATTTAAATTCGTATCACGGGCTCCGCCATTTCAAAGTGAAATAATACCTTGATGTTCCAAAACTCGTCATGAAGTCCATATTCAAATTTCCTACCCAATTGAGTAATTTAACTAACTTTCTGTGCTCTTATGGGGCGCTGGTGACATGATAACAAGAGAGCGTGACAGAGTTGAGTTTTAAACTGCCAACAAGAAAGTTTAATGCAACAAAAAAGGTGGAAAGAAAGGCATGCTTTCATGATTTCTTAGAGTAAAATTGTGTCCCTCTTTCGCTTAGTCTGTAGTCGAAAGAAAACCGCTAGATATAATATGGCCGCGCGGACTCCTGAAACACATCCACAATTTATCCGCAATATCGCAAAGAACGCTGTTGTCTCTTATTGATTTCTAGCTAAATCTTGACTTCAAGGCAAATTCCCACTAACACTCCAATGTGGTGTCAAATGCCCAATTCCTAAAAGACGGCAAATTCCCCCCTCATATGGTAAAAGAAATAGGGTCAGTACAAAGCATGAGCCCCTCTATCTGGATCCCCATCTAGATCCCTTCTGAAACTTCCTTTTGGACATTTTCTGGACCCCCTTTGGACCCCATCTGGACCTCCATCTGGACCCCATCTGGAGCCCCATCCGGACCCCATTCTGGACCCCCTATGTTTCTTCGGGAAAACATGGGCTCCCGATCTAAATTATACATACGATAATGAAGTCTACTTAAACAGTGAGATGAGGACAAAGGCGAAGAATGAGCAAACTCACACAGCGATGTGCCTAAAATAACAGTTTCACGGAAAGAATAGTAAAAAAAGATAAAAGTACAGTATTTCTAGGTGTTGATACTGCACCATCCTCTCTTGATCTTGACTGCTGACTAATTTTCTTTGACCTTGAAAATGGAGGCTTATCAGATTTATCGTTATTTCAGCGCAAATTGAGACCTATTCCGACGTTAAAATCATTAAAATTACAAACCAAGGTAAAATAGGTTAATAGTAACAAATAAGCAGAAAAAAACGAGAATAAAAAAAATTACAATGTTAACACAGAGAATTAATTTCTTGTAAACTGACGATGGATGATGCTTCATCTGAAAAATGTATTGTTAATGTATAAATATGAATTTCAAACACATTGTGTGGTTTCTAAAAGCTATATATGCTAGGTACGACGAATGTTCCAATCAAGATGGCGGCCATATGGATTGGACATTTTCGCTGTCGATGTCTAGATGTATGGAAAGAAAATACTATTTTGTTGCCATTTAATGATTTTAGAGAACACGCACCTCCATTTTCTTCTTTACACCGTCGAGGAAAAATTGGTCAGCGGTGCTTTCGTAAAGAGATAATGGCGCAATCGTGGCTTTGCGATTCTTTTGCGCAATTGTCAATATTCCAGACACAATGCTGCATGGATACATTAATTCGTCGCATTTTGCTGCACTAATTAAGTAGACTTCTTCGTCGTGTGTTCTAAGTCTAATAATTTTAATCAGGAGCTCATATTTTCTCAAGGAAAAATAGGGGTTCAGAATGGGGTCCACAAGGGGATCCAGATGGTGTCCAGAGAGGGTCCACAAGAGAGTCAAGAAAGAGGTTCAGATGGGGTCCAGATGGGGTCCAAATGGGGGTCCAAAAGAAGTCCAGTAGGGGGTCCAGATGGAGGGGTCCAAGTTTTGTACCCGGACCCCAAGAAATAGGCCATGTTCGATATATCAGTATTTTAACTATTTAACTTTTTTGAAAAAAACTCTGTTCCTTTGGTCATAGTAGCTTAACAAGAAATAACACGCAAACTGTGGTGATAAAAAACACATGGCAATAAAAAATATATAATTTAATAAAAACATGTAAATAAAACACATTGTTGGAAAACAAAAATTTTATCTTTTTACTCATCTCCCAGCGATCTAAACAGGGGGTGTTTAACCCAAAGTGCAGCCATGGAGTCGACTTTTGTTTGATTTCAGAAAAATATCGAACATACGGCTGG